GAAAATTGCTTTTCTAAACAGCAATGCTAATAGCTGCTCAATATAATACCCTATTCTAAAGAGCAGGCAAGGTTGTCTTTCTCATCTTGTTCTCGTTGTGCCATTACGACTCACTGGGTCAATCTGGGCTTAAGAGATTGCAGCCAGTAGGAAGAAATTCAAACAATGTCGGAGAAACATATCAATAATGGCAAGTGATTTAAAAGAAAGTGTATGCATCCGGTTATGGATTGAGCACTTATCTCGATACATATCCTATCTAGCAACAGATTACTGGGGTGAATAACAAAGATGAAAACTGCATCAATTGTTTCGTTTCTCGCATGGAGCAAACTAAAACACATTATGTGCTGCTCTTTCTCCAAATGTGCATCTCATTATGTACCGAGTCATGTTACATTGCTATGCCATGGCAGATTATGTTCTGTACTGTTAGCATTTACTTACAGTGCTGATACATAATGCAATAATGCAACATGTATGAATGATAATGGATTTCCCAAAGTAAAGAAAGCATGGATGGCAGTTCTCTCACCAAGAACGTCAGATTCCCGCCGGTGTGATCACATACCTCAAGTGACCTTTGTCCCAAACCTGGGTAAAATATATAGCTATATTAAAAAGGCATGGGTTCCCATTTGGTGGGATGATTTCTGGAGAAAATTTAACAAATGGTAACCAGTCCTTCGCACGTTGGGCACCCATCATCATTATTGCCAATACCTACATTTCCCGATAATCATAGGCAATAGTTGAAGAAAATTATGGGTGACTGATCCCTACAGAATATCACACCAGAGGCAATAGCAGCTTTCAGATGGGGAAGAGGGAGGAGCAGAACAAGATGGCAACCGTAAGAAAAGCAAACATTGGGTTTTCACTTAAAAGAGGCTTATTTTAACTCCAAGCCGATGTGCAAATTTAGCAGATAATCATGTTCAATAGCAGGACAGACTTTTATATTTATCTTGATTTCACTTTATTAGCTTTCACTCACCCCTGTCGGAGAGTTCAGAATTCAGCTGCTTCTTATACAGGGGCTGCTGCTTGGAGTTTTTTTTTTTTTTAGATCAACATTTAAGTGCAAAATATTGGGTAACTGTACTTTCAACTGAGTTGGGGCCATATACCCTCACCACTGATTAGTCATCGATGTCCTCCCTCTGCCATGGCCTATGCCAGCACAGGAAGTTCTGCAGTCGTCTTCAGCGAGCCAATGGGGTGGACATACAGTGCATGATAAAAATGCTTTCTACTTGCAAAACTGAAGTGGAAGGGTTGGGTATCAGACGGGAAGGACAAGGATATGTAGTTGCTCCAACTAAGTTAAACTATTTTAAGCAATGTTATACTATTTTTAAATTCCGGAACAATAAGAAATCCCGATCCAGGTCTAAACACATAAAACTGCGAATTCCTTAAAAGAGAAGAAGTAGTATTCTCACCTGCCTGGTGGCCTGTGTCTCCTTCCTCCCATGCATCCCGCTGATGTGGAATCCATAACTGTCTCTGGAATGAGTTCAACACTTATAGGAGTGCAGGATGACCATGTCCCCCCACTATGTGCCACAGTTCCTTCCACTGACCCCTTAATCGCTACAAATCTCAGCAGTGACACGGGAGTCAGAGGATAGCACTGCAGTGTTCAGTGGGGAACACAGGCATCCGAAACTCAGGACATGTCATAATCCAAAAAGGTACTAACACAGGCTGCAACGCCTGAATGGTAGAGAAGTAGGAGTCACAGGCCTCCAAAAGGAGGGGAGTATACTACTACTCTTGCAGGGAACTGGCATTTTCAATTGTTTAGAGATCAGACAGGGTAAGCCAGTACAAGACACATTCTGACTGGCTGATACGACTTACTGCACTCAATAATTAAAATGGCTTTATGAAATAAGACCGATTGTGTCCTAAAATATATCTGATATACTATTTCCATGAAAAAATTTAAACTGAACAAGCATCTGTGCCAGCTGTAAGCTACCAAAACAGACAGCTTCACCAAGAGGGTGGGAGGTGGTAGACAAGATAAATGAAGCAGATAATCAGTGACACTTGCTAGACAAACTATTCTTTAAAATAACCATTCATAAATGTAATTCTTTACAGTGTTTCTGAACATACAGAAAATTACACTTTAATTAGACAAGTAATTAACCAGTAAGTATAACACACATGCACAGTTTATGCGTTTCTGGTACCCGTTATCTTGGCAGGATTGGATCGCAAGTTACCTGAATATTCAGTGTGACTGGTTTGAACGTTTGTGCATGAAATCAGTTACTCTCTGGACACTACAGGTATTTTGACAAAGCTCACAGTGTTGCACCCTAGAAAGGGAGACTGCAGGTGAACACCACATCACTATGCAATCAAATCTAAACCTTCCACCAATGAAAAAAAAAAAAAAAAAAAAAGTACCCATGTATCGCATGCAGTGATGGTTTTTTTAGTTATACAGTTAATTTTCTGATTTTTTTTCTCAACAGTATAAAATTAAATCGTAGGTCAAGGCAAAATAGAAAAAAAGAAAACATATGTAGTACATCAGAGTAATATATGCATTTTCCACATGTTTATCCTTTTAAAGACCATGCAAGTACAGCAAAATACGTGTTGATCTGCCACAAATGCACTCTACAACTAAGTTTAGTTGTGGGCTAACAACACAACCCTGGCCATTTTCTCTGGTTAAACTACTCCACCACACACACACACTCATATCCCTACAATGTAAGGGCTAATCATTCTGTAGTCCAAGGTGAGGACTAGAAAGTATCTTAGCTTATGCAAACCCTTCACCTACCCCAGAAAATCCAAGGATTCAATAAGAATTGAGTATCAATCCTTAAGTGACCACTGGTAACTTTTGACAGCAGCACACCTAATATCAGCTTATGTAATAAACAACGTCCATTTTACAGAAAAGATATTCAGGTACACAGCAGACCAAAGTGTGATGTCAAAAATGCAGATATTTGTGATGGATTGGACACCTTAAGATAGATCATGAATAGTATCACATGACCATAAAATTGAAGGATGCGGAGGTAGATTTTGATTGATGTAAAAGAAAAAAAAAAAAAAAAAAAAGAAAGAAAAATG